CATGCTTCAGCTTACGTTTATCCCAAATATATAGGAAGTTTAAAATTGCTGGACAGGTTGTTTGTAAGAACGGCCTCGAAACCTTGTTTAGCCACATATGCAATGCAGGTGAGTCTGGATTCATCAAGTCCATCTCCATATCTAGCCAGCGATGTTCCCCGGGAGGTGAGTGCCAGCCAATTATTTGTGCCAGTTGAGCAGCGAAGTAATAAATAAGTAGGTTAGGGAGGCCTACACCCCCTTTTCTCTGGGTTTATATAGGAGAATTCTAGCAACTCTTCGACGTTTATCCTGACAAATAAATGAATCAATGGCTTTCAGAATGCTAATTAGATCTCCTTTATGCACCCAAATGGGTGGGGCTTGAAATAAGATTAACAGCCTGGATAAAATTTTAATTTCAATAGAGTGGATTCTACCGATCCATGAAATTGGCTTATCATGCCAATTCTCTAAATCCTTTTTCAGGTTTCTTATTTGGGGCAACTAACTGTCCGTATATAATGTATTATGGAGGCAACTAATTTTAATACCTAGCTACCAAAGGGCAGGTCAAATTTTAGTTGTAGATTACCTTCTTCTTGCATCGATATATGAAAGGGCACCACACAAGATTTAGTATAGTTTACTCTATAGCCTGAAATCACCACAAGTTGTTCTATCAAATAGAACAAGGCTGGAATAGATTTGGTAGCGTTTACTACTGAAATTAATATATCATCGGCATAAGCCGTGACTTTGTAGATCTCCCTTCCAATCCAGACTCCCTGAATAGCTCCATTCTCTAATACAAATTAAAAGGGGCTCTAGTAAGAGAGCGAGGATTGGAGAAAGGGGGCAGCCTTGGCAAGTGCCATTAAATATTCCAAAGGGGATCCCATCTGAACCATGAAGTTGTATTAAGGCCTGAGGATTAGAATATAGAGCTTGAATTATGGCAATGATAGATTCGGGAAGACCCCAAGACTGTAATAGATAAAATAAATATGGCCAGGCAACCCTATCAAATACCTTCTCTGCGTCAAGTGATAGGAGCATCGATGGCAGCCTCTCTATCTCCATAAGCCATGCTAGATATATGGCTCTATGAGTATTATCATTTGGCTGCCTTCCTGGACTAAAACCTACCTGGTCTGGGTGAATCAAAATGGGGAGAAGCAGAGATAGGCGTAAAGCTAAGACCTTTGGTAATATTTTTGTGTCCACATTTATAAGGGAAATGGGTCTATAATTCCCAACTGCTGTAGGATCTTGTGGTGAAACCAACCTCGCCACGAAGCATTGGAGAAGCCTGGTTGCTCGCCTGTTGCCCTTGGACATGGCCCCATGTTAAAAAGCCTTCTTTTCCCCTGCAGAAAAGGCTTGTTTGTGCCTTTCTGCCCGGCGTTCGGTAGATTTAATCTGCAGAACAAACAACTGAATGACTGGATCACCTGTATTGGGAGTGTGTCGGCAATTTACCTCCCAGCGGCGTGGCGGCGGCCATTTTAAAGTCCCGAACGGCCAGGGGTGTTCAACGCCCAAACTATGGAACTGGAAACGGACACTTATTTTCGCAAAAACCGCTGAGCAGTCAGCCTCCTAGCGTCTGCATTCGGTCATTTAACCGGATGCCTGTTCATACGGTAGTTTAACCGTATGAACATCATTACCCCAGATAGCCATGCAATGGAGCCTATTCGTGTAAAGACTTTGGCTCCATGGCGATTGAACTGTATGTATGTGATCTGAGCGCCATCCAGTAATAATGTGCGCTCAGATCTAAGCTATCTGGGGATAGGTAGAATGTATATGTTTTGTGCAACAGTTGTAACTTTATACATTTTTATGTCTTTTACTGTCTTTTACTGCCATGTGGTTAATGGAGGTTTGCCTCTGTCCTGGGAGATAATTGGATTACTTCCCAATTATCTCCAGGACAGAGGGAGGGAAATTAGGATGCAGTGTGGGGATGTTTTACCTCTGTGTGTCTGTCATTGGTTCATGTCTGTCCTTTGCCACAGTCTCCCATTTGGTCCCCTAGGGGAGTGTCCACCAGGTGGGAGACCTGCCTAAATACTGGGCAGGTAGCCCTGAATAAACCAGACCACTGCTTGACCCTCAACATGGAGCTCTGTCTCGTCTTTGGGGGGATTTACTGTATGCTGTTAGAGACTGATTGCCAGGAGTGTAAGCCGCTTGGGTGCTTTTCCTATTCGTCTGCTAGCAGCTATTCGTGAGGTTCCAGTTCGGTAGTTTGGAGTGCTACTTTGTATGCAGTTCAGGAGTTTGGAGCATTCCCTTGTATGCAGTTCAGGAGTTTGGAGCATTCTCTTGTATCCAGTTCGGGAGTTTGGTGTTCTGCAGTAGCTGTGCCTGTATCTCTGGAAGGGAAGATCGACTAAACGGCGGTTTAACCCTTTTATGCCTGGGGGTGCGTTACAGATCTATATCCTTTTTCTGGATGAGAACAATTTTAGCCATTGTCAGATCTGCTAGAAGAGTTCCTCTCTGCCATATTTCATCCAAAACCTCCTGCAAATGTGGCAGAAGGGTTTTCTGAAATGTTTTATAGTAGCTGCCACTAAATCCATCTGGGCCAGGTGCTTTGATGGAAGAAAAAGCTGCTTTAATCTTATCCATAGAGATCCTAGTCTTTAATGATTCTAAGATATCCTCAGGAATAAGGGGTAGGTTCACTGAACCCAAAAATTCTCTCAATCGTATCCCCCGTTCCGGTTCCAACCCATTAAAATTTGGGAATTGATTATAAATTGTAGAGGAGTATTCCTGAAAGGCTCCATAGATCTCCTCGGCCATCAAAGCTCTTTTAATCAATTCTCCTCCAATTACAATTTTATGGGCTGCCCATAAGGTAGTTTTACTGATTTCATGTGTATTATTTTCTAAAAAAAATAAAATTTGAGAGAGCCTTTGAGCCTTTCTCTTCCTTAAACCGAAAGATCCCCCAAGAGAGAAGTATTAAGGCGCCAAGAGCAACTTTATTTAGCAGATAGTCCTTTTATAAAGACAGCAATATCAGCATGGTCTGACCAGGTAATATTATTAATTTTTGAGTTAAAAAGATATGAAACAAATTCGGGATTTGACAAGAACATATCTGTGACGGACTGCCTGGCACCCCGACCGGGTGACTCCTCCAACCGATGCTCTTAGTGCTCACCGAGGACTCCAAGCACGCCACCAGACACCATCAGCACTGTTGTCCCCACGTCTAGCGTTACAGCTTGGCTGGAAACTCGCCGGCCTCCACCCACCCTGGACCCAAGACCAGGATCCAGCTTCCAGTGGGCAGTAATCTCATACTCCAGAGAGTATAGCAGAAACAGCTCTTATAAGAGCTAGTGATTATAACACTCCAAAGAGCAATCCCAATAGCAGGGATTATAGCAGGTATAGCGGTTCCCTCAATCAAGAGACGAAGCTCTGTGTTGAGGGTAAGCAGGAACTGAATTTTAATGGTGCCACACTGGCCTTTTATGACAATCCCTATGCACATGGACCTTGTTGGGGACTCCAACACAAATACACAGACCAATAAGAATAGTGATTAAATGCACGACACTCTCATAACAAACATACAACCCCTCCCCTCGGCCTGGGAGATAACTGAGTCAGATACTGTATCAATTCAATTATCTCCAGGCAGAAAAAACACATATTTTATAAAGCCCCAAAAGTTCCCCAAAAACACATGATATCCCCACAATTGTTACATTCCCTGATAGCCCTGATCTGGGTGGCCAACATATCCAAACATCACCCAGATCAGTTCAGAGGTTCAAGAATTCTATGGAAGTCATATTTTGACCGACCACACACATGGTCCCATGCCCAAAACAGTTCCAGAGAATCAGGGCTTGCGGTTGGTCTAGTTTGGTAGTTTGAAAACAAACAAACTACCGAACAGAGTCTTACCCTGGAACTTGTTCCCTTCATCCAGACAAATGATTTCACCGACCAGTGCCCTTCTAAGTTGTATAAAATCGAACGCAGGCGATGATGGAAGTCCAGCGGTGTTTAGGAGCTTCTGTGTCCGATTTTAGTTCCATGAGATTCATGCCCAAACACCGCTGCCTGCATTCATGCGAACAAGATGGCCGCCACCTCGTGGTTGTCCATAGGAATTGTGGCCACTCAGACGAACAATTAGAACACTGCAGTGAGAAACGTTCCAAGTTGTTAATAGGTGTTAACAAGCTCCAGGGTGGTCTCTGGTTCGTGCGGTTATTCAGGAGTTCGAAGTGCTGCTTCGAGAGCTCCAAGTGTAGCCATACAAGTCCAAAAAGGCACAAACAGTATATTTAACCAAAATCTATTACAGGGGCCATAGTCACAGGGTAGGGGGCTGGCAAAAGGGCTCCTCAAAAAGCCAGTGGCGAGGTTACTTTCACCACACCCAGTAACAAAAGTATATACAAAAACTTCATCCTGGACTCACCAAATGCCAGGAAAACATTGGGGGACAGAATCCTCCCAGGTCTAAGTCGGCCATGGGATGAAGTGTATCTGCTCCCATCTAACTGAAGCCTTGAATTAAATACCCCTAGCCGCTATGAAGAGATAGGTAACCGGCCAGGTAACTAATGCTTTCCAATCGTATCTATATCTTATAACGCCTTAAACCTAGTCAGAAT